AATTCGTTGCGCTGCCATGCGGCAAGTCACTTAAAAAAATTGCGTGTTCGGTTATTCAGTGAATTGGGCGCAAAATATAGCTTGACAGAAATAATGATTGTTCGTATAACACGGGTGGATGAGCTTTTTTATAATTGAAAACGTTTGAAAAGCATGAGTATTATCCGGATGCGGTGAACTGCCGCTTAATCACTTGCTGTAACAGGAATAATAAGAGATAATGGCGAAGCGATTGTACATAAACTTCTGTTATTCTTAGAACGTAGCACATAATAATAATAATAGCCAAAGAATTCGAATAGATTAGGAGGAGCCAGCCTCACGAGTAGCAGAAGTATATTGTCGCAATATACAGAGTGTCCGCAAAGTTGGGGTTTTCCTTTACACGACGAGTAGATCTTGAAAACATAAGCAATTTTTCCATAGTACCATATACACCAATGTCTTAAGGGAACCGAGATACAGGGCTCTGCAACATCAAAAATATCTGAATACCGTCCTGTAGCCGCGACCCGGGACATCACCGATTGGTACAAGGTCTCAACCCGACGACAGAACTGGGTCAGGGTCAGTGTGTCAGGTCAGTATGCAACCTTCAACCGACGGACAGCAAGAGTGCGGTTTTGTGAGTGGTTGTTGCATCAACATGACAATAATCCGAACTTTTTAAAGTGCATATTGGTGTCAGACGAATCTACGTTCACGCGTAATGGGTTGAATAACTTTCGCAACACTCATGTTTGGTCAGTAGAAAATCCGCACGCTGTCCGTAGGGCACATTTTCAACAAACATTTTCGGTGAATGTTTGGGCTGGCATGGTGAACGGTATGCTCATTGGACCATTTATTCTCCCAAATCGATTGGACGGGATGCAATACCTAGACTTTTTACGCAACATTTTGCCTTCCTTGTTAGAAGATGTGCCATTAAGTGTAAGACAATCAATGTGGTTTCTGCGTCTGCTCGGTAGCGCATCAGCTGATTTCATTTTCTGTTGGAGCGGTATGATTTCGGGCAGAGACGTACTTAGCCCTTCTCGTCAACTGGAGAGTGAGTACTTTTTCCTTTATTTTTTTTTACTTGGTCGCCCTCGTTTCACTACACATTACCTTTGTTATTTCAAGGGTAGTTGTTTCTGAAAAGGAAAACCCCAACTTTGCGCACACCCTGTATGTAGGAACAATATTATGGGTGCATTGGTCCAAACTAATTTTCCAATATTGATGCAAGAGAAAATGTGGATATTTGGATATATTGGTACAAGATTGATTTCCAATATCAAACTAATATGGCCTTTCATTATTGTTTTAATGTTGGTTGCACGACAATTTATATATTTTCCCAGTCAACTATGACAATATTGTTGTTCTTTATTTACATTATTAAAGCAATACTTCTTTTTATATTGGGCCAACATTAATTTTCAATATTGCTTGTATGTCATATTTTGCATGTAGTCATCAATGATAAAAATATTGGTTCAACGTTGACTTACAGTATTAAACAAGTACATCTATTCTGATATTGAATTTCAATACTGAGTCAATAAAGAATAGGTATACTGAATATTCCAGAATGAAAACATTTCACGCAGAATCATTTGTCGAACAATAGCGGAGTGCGAGTAGGGAATACCATGTCTGAATATCCCAAAAAGTAGAAGACAACGTGCACTTACAGCATAGAGGTCAGAGAGATTGGGCAGCAGAGCAAAAAATCAGGTCGGAATGTCAACAAGGATACTGGCTCGTCAATACAGATCTCATAAGTGTACGATATTGTTGGAATTGAGGAGGAATGGTCTTAAATATTGAAGGAGAGTATAGTGCCCCAATTACTCTCAAGCGCAGCTCCTTCGTAGACCAACCTGCTGTCGTCAACTGATTTTCGCCAGTGGAACCATCATTATTTCAGAGGACGAAAAGTAACTTTGAGTAATTCTGAAATGGAGGGAAACCAAAGATTTTACACGGACAACGTATAGGAAGGCCCTGGCTATGTTGGAAACAAGCCCAAGATGAGATACAATAAAGACGGCGAGTTTATGAAAAACTAAGAGAAATTGATCTGAATGCCGTCCAGGATCTCATAAGAGACATTCGAAGAAAGGTGTGTTTGGTAGAGCAGAATGGGTCACTCCACATAATTCGATAGTATAGTTTAGTTAAGTATTGACTTGTAATTTTTGTTAGTGCTTAAGTAAATTTTCTGCTAAAACTTGATGGACATATGTTAATACAACAAAATAAATAATATACTATCTTAATTATAATATATTCTATCTATCTAAACTTCATTAAGATCCGATGATTCCTGAGTTAATAGTTGCTGAAAAACAAACAATATTAGAATCAAAATAAACTTTCTTGTTCCTAACTTACCTAGTAGTCTAATCATACTAGCAAATATCTCCAAAATAATGGAAAAGTCTGGTTTTATTGCGGCAAGTTGTTCAAGCTATAATACTTGGACGCATAAAGTGGGGGTACACCAATTTTTGTGGGAAAAACTTTTTATTTTACAACAAAGAATGAGGAAACGTGTTTTTTGGGATTCAATCGAAAGTGTTGTCAGGAACGGAAACACTTTTCATACAAGATTTTTAGGTATTTATGTGGCCTACAAAATGAGATAACACGTGAAAAGGTCCGACTAATAGAAAAGATGTTATGGACAAAAAAGCGAGGCAAAATGCAGGTTTCGGCATTTGTTGGTAATGCGACGACAATTTCATGCAATTACTTGAAATTCTTCAAATCTGAAGGATTCATACTTCTAAATAACAACAACAAAAATTGGAGTATATTGGCCAAGTGTTTTTTGAGAATTTATAATTGTTTATCCCAAAACACCTGTTTTCCGGCCATCGTTACCAGTTTATTGAGCAATGTACAGGGTTCGATCAAACGGCATTTAATAGCAAAATACACGTGCTTACCTTGCCGATATGAATTGTAAATCATTCCAAAAGATAAATTTTATTTTTATGCGAAAAAAAAGGTTTCTTGTTTCTTCTAAACAAATGCAAACATTTCATATTTGTGTGTGATAGAACAAAAGCGCTACGATATTCGAAAAACATTCGTTACTAGGTATATATACATTTTTCTTGCGAATTACTCACAAATACGAAACGTTGTTTTGTTTAGAAGAAAAAACGTAACCCATTTTGCACAAAAATAACATTTGCCTTCCGGATTGGCTTGCGATTCATATCGGCTAAGTAAACTAGTGTATTTTGCTAGAAAATTCCCTTTGAACTAGCCCTATATATTGTCAATAAACTAGTAGTGATGACCGGAAAACAGGTGTTTTGGGACAAACAATTAGAAATTCTCAAAAACTACTTGACCAATCTACTCCAATTTTCTTGTTGTTATTTAGAAGTACGAATCCCACGAACTTTAAGAATTTCAAATATCTGACAAAAACCATCATCGCATCACCAACAAGTGTTGACGAATAAAAAGTTTTCCTTGCAGTAATAAAACCAGACTACAATTATTTTGCAAACCAGGCGTATTTTTGTCTAATATGATTAGACACTACTTCCATTCTGATCACCTGCAGTCGCCAAGCTAATTGTTGAGGATAATCCACATTTTGGGCATGATGGCCTACTAAGTAGATCATTTAGGGTATCTATTCTGTAGTATTGACGTTTTTGCATTCAAATGCAAGTATGAATCGAAATCATTAAGTACCGCTTTATGCACATTTGCTTCCTTGTTGTTCTGGGCATGTTCTCCTGCAAATGTTATTCCGGCGAAACCATGAAACGGGTATAAAACCCCCACATAAAATTAACAACGGGATAATTTGGTTTTTAGTTTGTCATAACTCTAGGGTATTTGTAGAAAATGGGGATTTTCGAAAAATAATACTAGTTTTGATTATGGAAATTGAATGTTCAATATACCAAATATTATATACATAGGAAATCTCATATGAATTCCAAATACGCTTGCAGATAATTATAAAAAAATCAACGACGACAATTTACTTGACGCCATTTTCTAAAAAGAAAGAAACGAAGTTTTCAAATCAGCATCCACTTGTTGGTGCTCAATAATCCATTCCACGAACTCTCTCCGCTGATCGTGGTCATTAGGCTTCAGCTACTGTGTTAGTTGAATTTAGACACACATATCTTTTGTGAATATACGCTGAAGAGAGCTTCTTGAAATTTGCTGTTTTTGTCCACGATGCCGAATTGACGTTACTGAGTTTTCACCAATCCTCTCACGTACTGCTTCAACGTGGACAGTTGAACGGCTTGTCTTTGTCGATCGGTGACACTAAATTTTCATTATTTTTGAAATATTGGTCAATAACGAAAACACGTTGCTTGTACAATGCTTGTAAAAAGTGCCACTGTATGAATTAAGCCAAGAGAAAATAAACTCGGTTAAGGGTGAATTCATGTTTTCTCTGTTTCTAAAAACACTTTGAATTTGAACATTTTATTAGTTACCTTAATGCGCAACTTTGCCTACAACAAATAAAAGATTTTGTATTGTGTTACTTGCCGTTTCCGAATTTAAAATCTCTAGTGCACATATACAGAGTGCTTTTAGCCAAGCTGAATTAAAATTCAATGTAAATTTCAACTAATCCTAGAAATTTCTCATGTAATACGTTCTGGCTGTACATAAACAACTTTGTCATAGTCAATTTTTATAGAAAATTTAACTTGGGACTTGATAAACGAGTAAAGCTCCTTCGAAAACGTGAGATGGATCGGAAAAATTGAAAAGGTGAGTCACCAGTATTCCTGACTAGAGCACATTTGTCTAAATATGATTATTATTAATCAATCGAGCTCTGTTTTTTTGGCGCATTCTTTATCTATGTCTCGCCCGGTACATAGATAGCTAGGAAGAGTGAATGAATCCACTAGATAGCATTTTTTATTCCCCGTATTCCTGCCATTTCTATGTCTGTGCTTATTAGTCTTTGCCATCCGGGGACATTCGCCTATACATCACGGCATATTTACCAGCGCTGAAGTCATCCATTGATGGATTAAACATCGTTGTCGAACATGAAAAGCTGCCATTTTTAATTACATTTGCCTCCGACTGTTCGATATCTGGATTAAAATGCTGTGCAAATAATATGGAAATGGCGTCCTTTTTGTCTTCTGTCCGTATTTAATCTGAGGGATTTGATAGAAAACTTCGATTTTCCAAGTTAAATATCGGAATCATCAGCAGAGGCGTCCATAATTTGAAACCTTATAGTTATTCTACGGATCTCCACAACATCGTTGAGTGCTGCAATGTGATAGGACATCATTTTCTGGCCGAATCAAAGTACTGTACTTGAAAAAGGTCACCGTCGTGGCAGAAACGTACGTATACCATGAACATGAACTCAAACATGTATGTGGCTATATGTGGTTTGATTCGGCCAGACAATGGAATCCTATAAACATGAGTTTCTTTTATCGGCATGTCTATCAGAATAGTGGTGGTTTTGTCATAGTGTGGGCATAGTCGGTAATCTACGGAAGTAAAACGCCAGAACTTATATACTCAACACTATAGTCTATTACCATTAACCCTAGCCAGGATCACAGATAGAGAAAGGCGATGAAAAGGAATTGAATTATACTGGCGCCTCTGAATTTTCATACGAGAATTTTTGATGAATTCTATAGAGCAGGTTTTTGTAGCGAGAGAAGTGATTGTGTATTGTAAGGAGCAGGAAACCCACGCTGTATTAAGTTTACGTAAAGATTGTATCAGTGTGAAAGATGCTACATCCGAAAAAAGTGTTATCCGTATGGTTTGATACTTCCATGCTCAGAAAGCTCAGAGGGTGTTAAATTCGACCTAGCGAGGTGCGAAGGGAACGAGCCATTTCCAATTTTCATACGAGTAATACACGATATGTACTTCTACCTCGAACTTTTCAATTCATCATACCATGGAGTGGCTTGAAGTACGATGTCATCTATGTTACTTAGCGCCAATTCTTCTGCTTTGTCATTAAACGAAAGACCACTATGCCTTTTTATCCAGTATAGACGGACACCTGTATTAGCGGAGTTCAGACCGATCCATATTTGTTTGATAAGAAGAACCTAGATATGAGAAGGAGACTTGCAGTTGTTTATATTTCTTAACGCTGCAAGGACAGACTGTGAATCGGAAGAAAATACAGCTTTATGGATATTATTGAGTTGGATATACTGTACTAATGTACAGACTTCATATTCGTATTTTTCAAGCTTGTATCATTCTTGGGTGCATTAGTATAGGACAAAAGTCATACATATGGTTACGGTCCTTAAACGTGCATCACATTTTGAAATGTTCAAAAAATTGTAATGAACGACGTTTCTGCAAAGATAAAATTGAATCTACCATTTTTATTGAGGTGATCATTATAAAATTTCGTTCTACACTTATTATTCCAATTTATAAATAGTTTCGGAGACAGAAATGCAATATTCAGTGTAACGCAATAGTTTGCCAATAAAATCTAATAATAATGATGCAACCTGGTTAACTGTATACAGAGAGCCAAATAAAACAAGATATCTAAAAAAAAATCACAATGCATTGTCAAAACGAATATCCACCACACAAAAAAAAACACTGGAATGCAAGTTAAAAGAAAAAATGTTATTAAAACCTACCTGACAATAAAATTAATAGACCGCGATAACTAACCTTGCAAAACGTTTACCATGGTATACGTACGAAGGCTTTACAAATATAGTTCTTACAAATATTTCAACGCCTAAACCTAAGGTTATCTGGACAATGGTCTTCCAGTTACAGCTCTAGGCATAACTGTGATGTTCTCAGCTCTCAAAAACTCAGATCAAAAATCAGTGGCCAGTAGTGAGCAGTAACGTAAGGAACGTCTCAATGTAAGGCCTCGTTCTCAAAATTTATGATATAAAAAAAACCCTAGAGAGACTGTTTTAAAATCTACTCTCTACTCTATGTCTGAGATAGAACTATTCATTTAAAAGATTCAAACTTGTCGAGAAATCCATGTACATTCTCTGTTACAAGAAAACTACTTTTCCTTCTGCAAGGGCAAGAAAGGATTAAAATTTACAAAAGCGATATATATGTACCTTCAAAAAGTTATCCCTTGTTCTAAAATAAGTTCTGGCAGCTCAAAATTCAAAATAATGATTTATGCAATGTAATGAGCCCAAAAGACAGTGACATGTAGACACTACAGTATATTTGAATTCGTAAAATACCAAACAAAATCAAGAACATTCTAAGAATGTCAGTCAGCAACAATCAATATATCAAAATCTATAAAATGCCCAATTAAAATGATATGTTACCTGTTCGTCAGGGTTTCTTATCAAGCGGAAGAGATGCCTTCCAACAAAATCGGCTGCGAAACAGTTACGAGGCAGCAGGGAATCAGATATTGAACAAACTTCTTCAGGACAAGCATTAATGGACATAGATCGATGGTACACAAAGGAGAACTTACCGCTGGAGGTTAAAATCTCATTACAAAATGGACGGTGTAGCACCCTAACTAACACAACTAAACGTAAGGTACAAGGTAAAAGGGTACTACTCCATAAACTGGTGCTTGGGGCGTTAATATCCCAAAATCTGGAAGTTAACGAAAAATAACGCCCGCACATAACCAAAACTACAGCAGAAAGTGAAATGGCGCTGGATCGTCTGCGCACACAACCCCCTCAGAGAAGGTTGAATATGTTGCTCCGAAAAAGACACGTTCGACAGGACATCAAAAGGAACAGATAAAAGCCGGTAAAGAAGGTATCTTGATAGTAAGACAAATTTTACCAGAAGGTATCTTGATGGGAAAGTAAACATTCATATATGGCTAGTACGTATAAACATCATAAGATAATATTTTATTAGGAGATTTCTCAGATAGATGAGAGATTTCAATACAATATTGAGTAGCTGAGAATGACAGACATAATACGTGTGAAATTCTACAATCAATATACTATGAAATTTGATTAAAGAAAATCATTAAAAACGGTTTAGTCTACGAATCGGTACTCTACTATGAATAAAGAGAAATTCAAATTACTCATAAGTGGTCAAAATAATAAAAAGAAAGGCTACGTGATTTTGGAACGTGACAAGTTACTTATTTTGTATTCAACATTTTAACGCAACAATATATAAAGTTTTAGGACAACAAAGATAATTTGTCAATGGTTACAAAACGATTTCTAAAGGCATTGACAGTCTTTCACTATCATGAAAGTAAATTTTCCTATACCTTTTTTCATATTACTTATTTTGTTTAGAAAAGGTATACCACCCTATACAGCGGAAGCAGGCCTTAATTATGCCTGCCCCTAAAATTTCAGGTCGTACTGAAGTTTAGCATATTTCACCTACAAGTTTGTTACCCGTGCTTTCTAAAATTCTACAAAGGATCATTAAAAAACAATATAGATTGCAGCTGGAGTAAAATAAAACACCAAACAAATCTAAATCAAGACGGTCATGCTAAGAAAACAATTGTAGAAATGCAGTAAATGCACGAGGCAAGTTCTTTATTTGTACATCCTTACTCATTTCGCTCATTTGGAATGAAACCAGTGAAACAGATATTTCAAAGCTAATTCCCTGGATAAAAAGTGGACTATGTTCTATTCCAGACTATAATCTATCTCTGTACTAAATTTAATCCAGATCCATTAAGCGATTTTGGTATGATTAAGTAAGAAACAGACGCATACTTTCTCGGTTATACAGTAGGGAAATCATTCCATATACATAAATTTCCTGGAATAGAATATGTAATACTTGTAATTTTTTTCATGAGATTTTGCACGCAACTTGTGGTATTCGACTTCGACTGAAATACCCCGTGTCTCCGCGAATGAGTTGCAGCAATACCACTGATGCGAGAAGAGTGGGATTGGTTTTATTTTTAGATTCTGGCTTAACGAATATTGAGCTTTCTGCTTGGATTGAGATATCTGGGTAAATTAAAAACTTAGAACGCTGGCAATGGCGATCCAAGATCGATATCTTTATCCTAATAGAACCCACAAGGCTATAAAATGACGAACAATCACGTTTGGTGAGAAAAAATATGAATATGTCTCAAAGTGCTGCCTAAATTGAGAGAGTTAGCTGTTAGATCTTTTATGTTAAGAATTGTCGCTATTTTCTACTCTCTCGAACGGTAAGTTTGTCCAGAATTTCAATAATTCAGTCGAAGTGATATGTCGCTTTAAAAGAGTGTTGCTACATGGCCTACACCTTCTCCTAAAATACTTTTGGGAACATTCTGTCATTTGGAGTTTCTAGAAGATTGCAGGATAAATACTTATTCTAGAAGACCGACTATGACATCTTTAAGCTAATGTAGATAGAATAAAAGTATGGGAAGGAACATTGAGTTCATTCACACAACCTAAGCTCAAGACTTGAGGTATCGGACATTTGCTGGATGCAAATGAAGACGTACATAAGCGTTTTAACGAGGAGCAAGCTTATCTTCGGTCTTAGACAAAAGTAGTGAACTTTACAACAAGCTTTACATGCTCACTAATTTTTACTAATGAAATGCTGACAAGTTTGGTATACTGTCAACGAAATTTTCTTACATCTTCGGAACAAAGCCTTTCAAAGTCATCAAAGAAAAAATAATATGTAGGAAACTACTTGGGGGCTAAAATGCGGACCGGGTGGTAACAAGTAGAAAATAAATGAATTAAGAATTTTACAGGTGTTTCTTGTTGAGCTATCAATAAAAAGTGAAAATTCCGGGAACTATTGGAATGTTACGGGACGCAAAGCACCAAAGAAGGTCACATTATCCTTTAACAGCTCACCGAGAAGATCAAGCACAAAAAACGACCAAGGACAACATATCAAATTAGTTTTACCATCAATATTCCAGTTTAAACCTTGAGTGATCATCAAGCCTGGGATTCTTTGGAATTTAGGACATAATGTGGGAAACATGTTCAGCAGTATATTTAAAAGCCATTTGACTTGATTTTTTCTAGCCCTTGGAAGTATGCACCTTTGTTGGAAATGGCACTAGTATAGGTTATAAAACTGTACAAAGACATCAGATGATGAAGCATTTCGTGATTCCTAT